CTCACACCAATTCACCAATTTTTTCAAGGTCAAATGCTAACCTACAACTTCCACTTTATGAAATCTTTCTGTGTTTTCGCAAATGACGTTGCATTCTTAGCTTTTTCTCATTCCATCAAGAATCGTTAAAAGCGGTTGAGAAATAAACGTCAAGGTCACCCAAAAAGCATCTCGCTGGCTGGCAGGTTGCTCTTCGGCGAATTTCTATCAACAGGATTCCGTCCATTTGTTTGAGTAACATTCACTCACTTGTGGGAAAAATCGATGAGGCCCAGAATCTAGTGCAACAGAAACAATGCAAAAGTGTGGGAGTCATTTTACTTCAGGAAAGCTGGTTACACCCAGATATTGAGGATGATGTGGTCGGATTACAAGGCATTGATATTTTCAGGAGTGATCGGATTGTGAAATTTCGCGACAGAGGTGGCGGAGTGGTCACTTTCGTAAATCGAAGTTGGTGTGAGAACACTCGTATGATTTTTCCTACTAAACAAGTAAAATTAACTGCACTTTTGTTTTGCTGCAAGCCCCGCTTTCACAGCAGATTTCGCTTCATTTACTTTGTGAATATTTATATTGCCCGTGATACACTCGCCCCCTCACTTAATACTATTTTCTGATACTGTAGTGATGCAATTCGCCAGTTGTATTGACCAGTCCTTATGTAATACCGTTGGTGACTTTAAGCGCTTTGATACTTCCTTTCTAATCACTCTAGGCCTAGATAACCTTGTCAATTTTCCTAATCGTACCAATGCCTTCCTTGATGGCATTTATATAAATAGTCCAAATGTGTTTCACGTTTTTAAACGAGCCCAAATCACTACTTCTGACCACTGTACCATTCTTCTTTACCCCAAAATGTATTGTAAAACTAATCACTGCCTTCATACACGACCCACTTCTCGTACACTTCGGAAGAGAAATTGTTCTCCTGAGAACTTGTCCCGACGGCGGGAGTTAGTTTTTTCTACCGACTTTTCTGTGTTCTTCCATAACCAGCTGTCTTTTTCTTGTGAACACCTTACCGATTATCTTAATTTCTGTTATGACCAATGTGTTCCGGTTGAAACTATTTATATTCGAACCGATAGGTTTTTCTCCCTCCTGCTTAAGCGACTTCGTTGTGCTAAAGAGACGGCATATATGGCCGGCAGGCGTAACAGTGTCAAAGAGCTTTCTGTTCTGATTAGAGCAGAAGTAAGATGCCTGAACGGGATGTATGTCTAGAATGTTTTGGGCAATAAAAATTCTCGTGAGATGTGGACTACATTGCGTAAACTCTGTGGCTCACGCATCAGTTCTTGCCCCAACGTTGAGGTACTTGACCTTTAATTTGCTTCTGTACCTGCATCTATCTCCCTCCCACCTCCTTTTCTCACCCATGATGCAATTAACCCTGTTTCTCCGGACGAGGTCCTTCAAGTTTTGTGGAGAATCAAGGCCAATAAAGCTCATGGTCCCGATGGATTAGCACCTCATTTATTGAAAGCCTGAGCCTACCAGCTTGCGACACCCATTGCCGAATTGTTTAGTACTTGTTTGTCATTTGAAACGATTCCCGATTGTTGGATGTCAGCCAGGATAAGACAGATCCCAAAGAAAGGATCGTCAAAGTACCGTCCTATTGCCTGCTCATTTGTTTTGCTGAAGGCTTCTGAAAATGTTTTGCTGCACCGCATGATACCCCACTGTAACTCCCATGACCCTTTGCAATTTGCTTATAAGCCCCATTTATCCACATTTGACGCCGTTGCTCATATTGTTCATTCTGTTGCCTCCGTCTTAGACAATGGCGGTGGTACCACTCGTTTGACTTTTCTTGACTATACAAACGCTTTTGGTTCTGTCGACCAAAGTGTGCTTATTGATCGTCTTTCTGAGTGTGATCTAGCTCCTGAAGTCTTGAATGTACTAATCAACCACTCCCGTAGAACTCAGTTTACTTTACCCATTGGCATACAATCTTCTTCTATTAACACTGAAGCCGGTGTTTTTCAGGGTGCCATCTTGTCCCCTTTCTTGTTTTTCATGTATATACAAAATCTGCCCATTCCCACCAA